GGCGGGATGCGGCGCGGGGCAGGGCAGAGGACGCGTGTGGCATGCAGACACAGGTTTTCGTTGTTTTCAGTACATTCACCTTTCCCACTTGCCGCCTTGTTCCCCCGCCCCTCTGCCCTCTCCCTCTTTCCTCTTTCCCCCTTCTTTCCCCCTCCGGCCTCCTCCCTCACCACTTCCACCCAGTACTGCTGACCCAGCAGTCGCCCAGTGCACGCAGGCTTCAGGTCACAATTGCAATGATGATGATGATGACGACGTTCATGCTGCTGTTGCTGCTGTTGTTGCTGCTGCTGATGATAATGGTTGTGTTGTGCGCCATCACGGTGATCTCCGCTCCCTCCCCCGCCGCTGCCGCCGGCACAGCTGCAAGGCATAAGCCCCTCGCTCTCGATTCGCACGGGGTCCACACACCCCGTCCTGGGCTCAGGGCGCAGCGCCGCCACGGCCGGCGGCGGCGGTATCGGCGCTGCTGCCGCCGCCGCGGCGGCGGCCAGTAGCTCGTCCAAGGCATCGTCACCGGCAGCTACAAGCGCCGCTAATGCCGCTTCCCGTCGTACAGGCCAGGGAAGGTCTTGTACTGCAGCGCGAGTGGCGCAGTCGCGCTGGGGGGGAAGGGAAATCGTCAAACCACACGATGTGTTTGCGATGTATGCATGTATATATACATAAGTATGTATGTGTGTATGACAGAGATGTTCATCACTTTAACATAAAGGAAGGCCTCCTCTGGTGCGGAAGGGGGGAAAGGGGAATGTGGAGACCCGACACAGGCCTTTTTTTCTTATCCATACACCGTAAATGTAGAGGCAACCAGCCACATACCAAGCCAGGCAGACAGAGAGGCTGATCCAAAGCGCGTACTTACAAGGTGACGCGCTCGGTAAAGCTGCTTCCACTCGCCCCGCTCAACCAACGACCGCCAACGGGCGCTGCCATGCTTCCAACGCCGCAGCACCTTTTCACGCCAGCATTCCTGTGTTAGCTGGTCCCAAAGACGGCATGTGCACGCAGACGCGCAAAGATCGCGCGCGGATAGGCGCACAAACAGTAGTCTGAGGAAATCGATCGGCAGATGCTCGGCCCTTCCCTCCGTTGAATCCATGGTAGCGCAGGCAGCTTTTGTTCAGTAACTGGTTAAGTATACACGGTTTCAACACTAGGCAACAAATTATGTAAGATGCATTAAAGGGGTTTTTACACCAAATGGGCGGTTATCTTAGGTCGGAACCCTTAGCGAGCGTAAACGTTGCTTGAGGAAGTAATAAGGAAATCCGCAGCTTCTACATTACGGGATTTCTGATCGAACGCCTTAACCTTCCGTACAAGTAATCTAACAGTTTCTCGCTTTGCCTTCAGTTGAGATGATAAGATTACGAATCGTAATATAATACTTATCCCTGCCACATAGCTGACCATAAAACTCTTTGAAACGCGAGAAATCACGTCATCGGACCCTTGAGCCTAGGGAATGTTTGCTTCTTATTGCCATACTGGAATGCCGACAAGTCACTTAGCGATTTAGAAGCTACCATTTTCTAATGAGGTAGCTAAGCGTTAATCAGAACGTGTGGACTATATTATTCACAACTTCAAGTTTCAGTGCGCATTACGGTGTTTGTGCGTATGGCTCGTGAAGGCATTATCTAGGATTCAGCCCGCAGCGTATTCGCAAGGTCCTTGCAAGGTCCCATTGCACGATCACCTAAAGTTGGGGGCCGTGATCAGTCCTGTTTGGTCGGGAATGCAAAAGCTTAGCTTTATTCCACACGTATCCAGTGGAAGGTATAAACCAAATGTTTACATTATCTTATCCTGTCATATCTTGTGATCGACAAGGCGTAATCCCCAATCCTGTATCCATACATCATCTCCTACATTCTGCTGCCCAAGACAGCTCCCAGACATTCCGTCCTGGTGCTGGACTTTCGGAAACTCGGCCTCATCATGCAGTACGCAGCATAATTCGCATTGCCGTATCGTCGTCAAGTCATGCGTGATGAAACCCACTGCTACCACTGCGTGCCATGAATGCCATACGCGTCGCAGCCAGTATCTTAATTCGCACTACTTCTCACTCTCTCTCTCTCTCAAGGTTTTCGCCGTCGCGACGAAACCGACCGCGATCGCTCAAGCAAGGACCGATACAAACAGCAGCAGCAGCAGCAGCAGCAGCAGCAGCAGCAGTTGCACGGCTAAAAACAATAAACGATCCAAAGCGATGCGTCAGGCTCGCTTTACAGACCCCGACATGTCTCTACTTTAGTCATTCTTTACCATCTCTCCTACCGTACCATGAGTAATCGATCTGTTACCACGAAACTGATGAAAACAACGTAGCACTTGCTTCAACGGTGGAAATCCCAACCATCTTCGCTGAACACAATGACCAAATACCAAGTCCCAAAGCATCATCATGAAAACACATTCCGTGAAATCCGCAATTCGCGACTTCACCAGCTGATACCAGCAAAGTATTATATGTAAGGGATACATTCCAAACAGCATGACATTAACATGATTATACGTTTAATTAAAACATCTTCAGGCAAAGCGAACTTGTCTCACAGAAATGCTGTTTGTTAACAAGCCGTCGATCAAGTGCCTAGATTGGCCACTTGCTAGATGATCACTCCTCATCAACGAACTTGCCAGTTCCCTCGTTCACAGCAGCGAACAACAGGAATAGAATGAAGACGACCAGCCCGAACTCGGTGTCGCGTAGTGACAAGCCCGTCTCTGCGCAACGCATCATGCATCAGAGGAACACGTGAGGCAAAAGAAGGAATTGAGACCTGTTTCCTTGGTGAAGCTGAATGTTTGTTTTATGCACAGCAGAAATTCAAAGATACATGCTTGATCAGATCAGCAGCAGTGCACCGAGGTTTAGTTGCGCGGTTGAGAAGGCTTGACATACACATTTCCCGGCAAGAACCACATGAGTAATGGCAAGCATACAGAGCACAAGCCATATCCCACGCACGCTAGATACCCTCAGTCCGTGCACACACGTGAGTTTGCAGTACGTGCAGATACCTTCGAAAAACCATGCAGGATTTAGCATCGCAGCGTGGCCGTGGGCGCTACGTGCGCCCATGTGGCCGACGTACAGCGCGACGTATAGCGCCACGTGCGCCCACGTGGCCGACTCTTAGGCAACAGGAATTTTCACCCCATGTTCTGAGCCCGACTCGAATAGACACCCAACGTCAAGACACAGAGAAAAACGACGAAATAAAACTTCACCACTTACCAATATCGAATTGTGCCAGAGCGCCCTTGCCAGTGGTGACCTCCCCGATGATGGAGAAGGCGAAACCTAGCTGCGCCATTCGGCCCACGAACAGCTCATTCTCCTTGGTAAAGCCGAAGCCCTTGACACCGAAGAAGCGCTTGGGGTCCAGAAGGGAGATGCGGGGGTCCTGGAGCGGACCCGCGGGTCGGTCTTGGATGGACTGCGGGTTCAAAAGGAGGCGAAGATGCGAACGGGCCATGAGTTATGGGTTAATTAGAGCGGTTGTGTGTTGTTGAGCGCGGCTGTGGATTACTCTTTGACGAGATGGTTGAGACCCGGGTAGGCAATGCGCACCATAACTTAAATTTGGGCAACTTCAATTCGTTGGAATACAGGACGCAGCAGCAGCCGCCAATCGCATATGGTAATACTTGAGCCATGCAAAACACCGCGCACAACCCGAGCACACCCCTCGTCCCATTTACGTAGACGAGGTAGGTAAACATAAGTGCAAAAAAGGAGGCTAGAAAATTAAAGGCGCTGTTTAAAGGCGCTCTATATTATTTGCAAGGAACAACTGTTGTATGGCCGCCGCCGCGTACCTGTTGTTCCTCAGGCACGAAAGTCTGGCTGGTAGGCAGGACGGCGGCAATAAGGTTGAAGGCGACGAGGCCGATGATCAAGCCGTCCACCTCTATGCCGTTAAGGCCTGTCTCGTAACCGAATTGCGCCAGAGGACCTTTGCCGGTGAGAATCTCGCCGATAAGCGACGACGCAAAGCCCAGCATTGCCAATCGCCCAACGAACAGCTCGTTGGTCTTTGTAAAGCCAAGCTTGATGGGAAATTGCTTGCCGTTCACGGTTGGTGCTGGCAGGCCGGTGGCCTGCTGAAATCGTTGCTCGTCGCTTTTCTTGGTGGTCGTCGTCAACTGAAAGATTGCAAAATAGGAGAAGCCCGGGCAATATCGGCAGGTAACGATGATTAATCCTCAGGTAACGGCAAATAAGATGTAGGTAGGTAATCCAAGCAAATAAAAAAGTTGTTCAAATATTCGTCCTGGACATGGACAGGTTACAGCCTTTGAACGCATTAACGACAAAGGTTTTACCGGCCTGAAAATTAATTACCTTTGGAGCTACCTTCACTTGTGCAGCTTGGACTCGCACGTTGCTCAGGCGGCCAACGCGCAGGGGAAGAGACTTGACAGCCATCATCTTTACCGGGTGTTGTCGAAAGAAATCTTCGAGAAAAATATATATTGGGAGTATCCGTTGATTTAGATATGCAGAGGATTCCTTCTTTGTTACCTTCCGAAGCTGCGAGGAATTCTTATAGTCGCTCGTTAAGCGGGATGAGTGGTTCCTGCGCATTTTCCGTACGGCCGTTCTGTCCGAGCGAACATTCGTGTGGTCGCTTTTCCATGCGACGGAAGCTTCCTTGTACTACACCAACAGGTGACACTTTGTGTGGTGGTTGAAGTTATCCGAGGGAAATCGCGAACTGTAAGGTATTGTCTACTATGATCCGAGACCTTATAATCTCCTCAGCTCACCAAGTATTAGTTTGCTTATTTTAAATTGTATCATACGAATTTGCTGTTTGCAAGGTGCCCTCAGCGCAAGGGCCTCTTGGCTTGCCTACGTTCTAGTTTCGCAACTGTAAGGACATCAAGCCTGCAGTCACAAATAAAATCCATGAATATATCTTACGTGCGATAAATGGTAGCTTGTACTTTTGCCCTGACATTTCACGTTCAAGAGGACATCAAAGACGCTATAACGAAAGTCAACTTCGAAGAAGCCGCGCCCTAGTTCATGTTTCCTTGATAATTGCCAGAAAACATAAAATGTTATATTAGTCCACCATATGTTTTTATGTCTGGCGATATTTGGACACCTAGTCTCGCACCGGGCAACAAAAGCCGCATAAGGGCCACATATCGCGCTAGGCAATTAGCAGGACATCAGCCGGAGCTTTTGAATCCCGATTCGAAGGCAATCAGGTTACCTCGTCACAATTTCGTAGTGTTCTGTGCAGCCAAATACATCCCTCAATCCCTCCCTCCATACATCCGTCATCCACACACCCCACATACACTGATGCACATACAGCTTTTCTGCTCCCAGGTATAAAAGCTGGGTAGCCCGCTGTAACAACAAGAACACACATAGCAGCTTTCCTAGCTTTTTTGTTTCCATTCTTCCGCGGTGGACGGAACTAGAGGGTAGGACAAACTGTCGGGCAGAGCAATTCTTTTGACTGCCCCGGTCGCACAATTCCCGTGCTTCCCTAATTCGACACCCTGAACACGCTAATTCTGACTGTCCGAATGTCCCTGCCAGGCCAATTCGACACCCTGTCAGCCTAATTCTGACTGTCGGAATGTCCCTGCCAGGCCAATTCATATCCCTGTCAGGCCAATTCAAGGGCCTGTCCCGGCAATTCAACTTGTCCCAGGTGTCAATTTAAACCCTTCTACCGAGCAATCTAGACCAATTGCAGGGTCTGCCCCCAAACTCTCAGGCACGCATTCAGAATCGCGGAAGTTGAAGGAACTTTACGAAACAAGGGGAGCACTTACAAATATCTCTCGTATGTTTGTTGGTTTCAAATCCGTACATGCTTGTACGGTAAC